GAAAAAAGCATTTATGACACATGGCAAATTAACTTACGGGTTGAAATGTGACAGAAGGTTGGTTATGTTGTGTTTGTATGAAGACTAATCTGAGTGTTTGGAGAGTTCACTGGAGTGTGAGCATGCTCTGACAATTTACTAGGAAGCAGTGAGAAGTTTTGTCTTCACACCTCAGCATCCCCAGTGCCCTACACAGCAAAGTGCAGAATGAGCATTTGTTTCAAGAGAAGGCTGCTGTGTTATACAGAACCAACACATACTCTACAATTCCACCATTTTTTGTATGAGGTTATTAAGTTTTAAAACTGTTTAAGTGTATTTACACCTGTAAGCTGGATTCTAAATAAACTGAAGCTTGCTGTAATCAGAGCATACATTTCAGAGAACAGAAATGTATTTCTCAAGTTTCTCAAGCTCAAGTTGATAATGAAGGGGAAAGTTGCCTCTTCCCTTACAACGTATGGAGAACTCCCCCCCTCCCCACACCTTTGGAATTCACTCGGGGACATAAGCTCACTTTAAAATGCAGTTCTTAGCCTTACACATAACCGCTGGTCACGTTACGGCTCTAACTTCTAATATAGGTCAGTTAGAATTATTCTGGTAATTACAGCTACTGCTCACGTGGGAAAGGTTCTCTACTTGGGAGGCCATTCTGGCTCACGGGTGTCCCCATGGGGACCAACCTGCCAGCAGCAGGTTTTCTAAACAGAGGAGCATGCCCTAACTTCTGAGAGAAAAAACAGAGTCACAAATCAGAACTGCCTTCACAGATGGAGTTCAGTTTATGGAAGGTAACAAGAACTTCACCTTAGGGTCACAGACACTCTTTTGGGAAGGAGTCACCTACCTAGGAATATGAGAAGCCTCAACAACCATCACCACTTCTTCCTTACTGGAAACTATCATTCCATACAGGAAATGAGATAAAGCAGCGAAAGAGTTCCTTTACTGCAGCCAGTAGTGCAAGGTAACAACTTGCAGAAGAGCTACTCCAAGGAAAAATCAGGTGGCTCTCATTCTAATAATGCATGCTACAAAAAGACACAAAGAATCAAAACAGACAGCTGTAATAAAGCCAGCATTCCACTGCTGTATCTGCTCCTTTTTACACTACTTCCTAGCATACAGAAGCACACATGAGTTTTTCCAACCCTGCAGTGGGCATTCATACCATTGGTTTCCATGTCATACGCACACTGGTACTGCGGATTGCTCTCCACCAAACACCTGCAGTTGTAAACCTGTCTCATTGGTTCCAGTGGCTCCTTGGCTCTGCACACACCCCCATCTCCACAAGAGCATTTCCTGCACCAGACCAGGCAACAGACAGCTTATTTTCCTTATTTTACAATCCGCTGTTGGTTCATTAGTAGTCGTGTCCTACGAATATAATTGGAAAGGTAAACAAGAAATTCTTAATCATTACTTCACAAAGTATGCAGGAAAAGCATACAAAGTAAGAAACTGCAACTTACTGAGGCATTTCTAAGAACATTTTTTAAAGTGGCACATCAAAAGAAACGGATTTCCAAGAATGAGAAGAGTTGTAACTAAAGAGCTCATCCTGATCCTCACTAGGGTGAGGAAACTTAAATGTCAGTATCTATCCTATCTGGTACAGGTTGCAGCTTCCCTCCCATAGCCCTGTAAGGCCATTTTAGAGACCAGCACCAGGCACAGCAAGGTCTGCTAACTTAAAATGAGCAACATCACACCTTCCTGAAGGGGATGAAAAGCTGGAACCTCTTTTTGCTAAACCCACTGGAAGATGCTAAAATACAAAGCCTTATCTTCACTTTGTGGTTGCTCACAGGCAGCTCCAGATGCACAGGAGGCTCCTACAATACTGTCCAATACACACAAGAACAGGAACAAGCAAGGAGTCCTGCAGAAGGAACACCCCCCTTGCAAACGAGCACTATTTTGCCAGCTGTGTTGCTCAGCTTGCTCCTTTACATGGGATGGCTGTGCTCTAGCTGCTGCATTGGAGGCTGCACCTTACTGCTTTGTAAAGTGAGCTAACCCATTAGAACCTTCTAAAGCAGTAGCTGGCCTTCCCATCAGTGCTATATGATTTCAGTAATGCTGATTCTATCGAACTAGCGCAGGTCAAACAGCTTCTTTCTGCTCTGTTAGCACAGCAAATCTGTAATTTCTGTGCAAGAAGGAAGAGGTTACAAGAAGTCCCAACAGCTTGTCAGTAAGATGTGGTCAGTCTTCAACGCACCCATGAGGTAAACCTACTAACATCTAATAGTTTCCCACCTCTTCCTTGGTACAGATCTAAACCATTTTCAGATCTATTACTCTTAGCTTTTCCAGAGGCAGCAGGCTCACTGCACAAGAATGCTTTTCTTTTATGCTTTTTCTCCCTCTCCTGACCACCTGTTTGATGTATGTTCACTTCTGTGACACAAACTTACTCTTCCACGTTTCTTTGAAGCGCTGTATGTAACACCCTACAGGCATCGCAAAGACGAGCTCTCAAAACGCAGTGCTTGACTATGTAAAAACACAACTCCGTGCACACAGAGCACCAGCAGAATGTCCCGAGATGCAGTTCTGCATTTGTCTGCCCCACGCACACCCATCACTTCATCTGTGGATAAGGTAAAAAGTGCCACAATCAGGAGAACCAGACATAAGGCAGGCAAAGACAGGAAGAAGCTGTTCCTCATCTCTCTTTTAGCAGCGCCAATTTACACAGACAATATATATATCTTATTAATAAGAGATCGCATCTACTTGAGATTAGCCACAGTGCCACACAGCAGCCGCGGTTCTGACCTCATTTCTACCACCGTAATTAAGTTACATCTGCGCAGCCGGAAAAAAAACCCTCAACTGTTAGAAACATTAACAAAGAGGCGTGAAAATAACGGAACCGATTTCCAAAATAAAAACACTCACCGCATCACCATCGCATTTTAATTTTCCACGCGCCGTGCCCGCCGCGCCGCACTACGCGACCACCTGGCTTTGTGTCCGCTCCCAACCCGGCGGGGAAGGCGGCCCGCGGCGCGGAGCGGCACGTGAGGGGAGGGAAGGGGAGGGAAAGGCGGCACGGCGCGGCGCGACCGCAGCGCCAGCCCCGCGCTCAGCGGGGACGCACCTCCGAGGTGCGGTTTTCTTCCTCGTTCCGAGGAAGTTCGCTTGCGAGCTATTTTCCTCCCTTTGTTCGCACGCCCAAATCCGAACGGCGGCATTCGCCCCGGGATTCACCTCCGCGCGAAGCCCGTGCGGCCTACGGCGGGCGGACGGGCGGACAGGCAGACAGGCCGGCCCGCGGCGCGGCGCCGCCAACTTTTGCGGTCGCGGTCGCCGCGCTCTCCCCCAGACACCGCGCGGCCCCGAACCCCTCCGCCCCGCGCCGCCCTCCCGGCGCTCAGCACGGCGCCCGCACGCTCGCTCCCCGCCCCTGGCGGCGCGGCCCCCCCGGCCCCGCGGCCCCCCGCGCTGCGGTCGCGCTCCGGCGAGGCCCCTTCAGCGCCGGGCGAGCGCGCGGCCGCCGCAGGTGTCAGGCAGCGGGCCGCCGCACCGCCGCCCGCCTCCTCCTCCTCCTCCTCACGCGGCCGGGGCCGGGCCGCCGCGAGGCGCGGGGGAAGCGGCGCCTCGGGAAGAAAGGCGCCGTCCCTCCCGGCGGAGACTCCGCGGCGGTTCGTCCGCAGGCCCGGGCGGGAGGAGAGAAGAGAGGAAGGAGGGCGGCGGCGCGGCCGGGCCCGGCGGCGACGTCGAGGCGACGAGACGCGACGGTCGCTTACCGGCCGCGGCTCCGCTCCGCACGGCGACGACGCCTCCCGGCCGGGCCGGCGCCGCTCGCGAGGAGGCCCCGCTGAGGAACCCACAGGGGCAGGCCGCGAGCCCCGGCGCGTGGCGGCGCGAGCGCTCCGCCTCGCCTCCAGCTCGGCCGCCGCCGCGCCGCACCCCGCCCCGCGCGCGGCCCCACCGCCGCCTCGCGCCGCCGCCGCGCCGCGCTCTGCCCGGGTCCTTCTCCCCCGCACAAGCTTGGCGGCGTCTGGCGGGCGGCTGCTCCCATTGGCCGCCGCCTTGCGCGAGGTCGGGCGCCTTCGGCGCGCCATTGGCCGCGCCTCGTGTGTGTACACACGCCGCCCGCCAATCCGAGGGATCTGTGCGAGGGAGGCGGGGCGGAAGGGCGGGGCGCGGGCCGCCTCCGATGCTGGCGCCGCGCCCCGCGGGGGCCGGGAGGAAGGCCCGCTCTACGGGGCTCGGCCCGCCCCGCCTGCCGGCAGCCGATCCCGCGACGGAACCGCCGCCACCGGCGGCAAGCGCGGGCCGTGGCGCGCACCGAGCGGCTCCGTTCCGCCGATTCTCCCCCGGGCCCACGCGGCCCGGCGGGTAAGCGCCTCGAAGCTGGGGCTGCCCGCGGGCCCCGGCGCCGCTCTCGCTCACAGGACACGAACGGGAGGCGCTGACGAGAGCCGAAAGAGCGGGGCAGCGATACGGTGCGGTGCCGCACGCGCAGGCAGCAGGCGGGGCTGCAGCGGAACGGTGATAGAGCACACAAAGCACGGAGCTGGGTTGGTCCTGCTTTACAGGCGCAACAAAAAATAAACAGCAGAAGCAGGCTGTAAAACAGGGCTCCTAAACTCCGGAACGAGAACCGTCTGTTTAGTTCCGTGGGACGGCTCACAGCTGGTTATTAATCACAGGCCCAGGAATGCGCTGACCGTGTGCTTTCTGCTCCTTTTCGTCCTCCACGGAATACTCTGTCACATGCAACAAGACCTTTATCAATACTTGCAGTTACGTAAGAAACTTAAATGAAAGCGCTGAAAAACCACATGTAAAATGGAGCGTTTCCTTCCCAGCTGCCGAGGCCCCAGGCAGCACGGAGGCACTGCAGCAGCCCCTGCTGCGAAGAAAGGAAGGGCAGAAGCGAGCCTGGCTGCCTGCACTCTTATGTTCCATGTGCTAAACCCAGACCTGAACTCAAATACCGCGCCTCAATAAAAAGTCATTTATGTCTTAAAATGATCTTTTTAGTTCATTTGGTTATTTTTATGCAACGCTTATGGCAGATGCTATGATTACAAACATGAAAAAGGCATTTAAGCATTGTGGAAAGGAGATGGACGGTGACTGCCATAGTTGGCACTGGCTTTCAGCCACCTGCAGAATGAGCCTTGTATGCACACACACTCTGCTCACTCTGAAGCTGCTGAAACAATCAGTTTGCAGTGAGTGTTACTACTTCTGCAAGGTTCTAAACCCATCTGTACTCTCAGAACTTACATAAATCCCAAACTCAGTCTGAGATCCACACTGAAGACTCGGCTCTAACCGGTCCCTTAGCTCTGCAAAGGCACGGAGGTTAGCGATCTCTCCAAGTAAGATCCATACTTAGGAAGCTCTGATGCTGCTCTCTGAAAACGGTCCGTAGTCTCAAAGCCTCAGCACAACACCGTGCTCCCCATGGCTGGTTGTTCCTTTCCAGATCATCGCCCCCTTTTCCTTTTCATAACGCATTACTTTGCACTATCTGCTGATTTCAATGCTTTGCGAGTCCCAACCTGTGCTGTGATACCAACACTAATCCATAACCCCCACACCAATATCTCTCCTGAAGAGCGAGCTGAACTTGTTTGTCTCACTGTAAAACCTCAAACTAAAATGTGGCCCAACCTCTGGGTCAGAACACCTCCATACTCTGACCTGCAGTATCTGGCTGAAGACAAAATGACAACTCTACCTGTACCTCTGGGCTTGGAACAGTAAGAGAAAAAAAACATAACCAACATTTTAAAAACCTATCTGTATTTCATGCTCCACTGACTGGCAAGAAATGATTCTTACCTTCTTTTCACACAGCTGCTGTTCAGATGGTGAGTCCAAGCTGCTCCCTGAGCCTGAGTACATGGCATACATGGCACCAGCTGAAGGATCTTGCTACATAGACCACAACAAAAAGAAGCTAGCAGACTGGAACAGCAATTCATTATTTTGCTTTTGTAATTTCTTCCAACAGGAGAGCGTGTATGAACATTCTTGTCAGAAACAGGTAAGAGAGAATTAATTTTTCATAAAATTAATCGCTAAAGGAGAGAAGAAAATATTTTTTAAAATGGTTGCAAAGCTGATTACACTGAGATTTTATGCATCAGTGACTGGATTGTTTTTTAAGAAAACTCACACTGCATCTGCTGAGATTATTTTCAATTTTTTGAAGATTGTTTTTCTTTCCTTTCTACTTACATTATTAATCCAACACCTCTGAGATCTGACCAACCCTATAATTTTTTGTGCCATGTTGTCCCAAGTATCAGGAGTTGGAGATCCTCATGGGTCCCTTCCAAGTTGTGATATTCTGTGAATCTAAAATATGAGACTGTGTACCATCACAGATAATAGCTGCATCCCAATTAGGCAGACCTACCATCAGTACCACATGCAGGTGATGGCAGGATGCACAAGGATCATTAACACATCTCTCAGCTGAATTCCTGATCTTCGCATGACTGATGAGGTCCATTACTGCCCAATGCTAAGTAAAACATGTGCAGTCTCAACGTGGTACATTTCTTAAAATGATAGTGCCAAAATTAGCAATATTAACTTCTTTTTATATCATTACATTTACTATTAAACTGACCTGATACCAAGTGCAAAATTGCATGTATTTTGGCTGTACTATGGTCAGGATGAAAACCACCACAATGAAAAGGTGCAAATAAGGCACACAGCTAGCTATTTTTCCAAGCAAACGGTATCAATAGAGTCAGATTCAGATCCCATTAGATATCTATTTGGGAACAGAGCATGGGAACCCCAGTCAAGCCTAGAAAACCACGTAACTACAAAATGAACACAAGCCATGAGATGTCATCAAGGGGCTCATAGGTAGACACTATCTTTAGGCAGACTTTGATTAATTAAACTCCTTCAATGAGAATGAAGCGCAGAGTAACTACAAGCAAGGCCACCATCTTCTGTTCACAATGCCAGAATGATACCCTTCTCTTTTTAGTCTGGTAACATTTTTTTGCCAGTAACATTTTCTGAAGTAGAAAATTATGATCTGAAACTGATTTACATGTAGCCCTGAGAAACTTGTAGTAATTTAAGATTAGTGATGAACAGATGCATAATTAATTACATGTTTCTTTAATTACAGTTTATTTTAAAAATGTAAAAGTAGTAACTTCAAAAACAGACTTTCAACCCCGTTTTTCCCAGTAATAATAGGATGTAGTGATGGGCTTGAAAATACTAATATTACAGACTTTTACAAGTTAAACGTAGTTACAGGTATGCTAACATTTATATTAATCGTGCCATATAATGCAGTTTTTGTCTTTATAAAATTTAAAAAATGTAGCTACAAAGTAGATAGGTAGTAGGTAATAAACATCAGCTACAAAAATCCTGGAAAGAAGCATCTTTTAAGGAGTTTTGAAAGCATATTTGCTTTTGTTTCTCATCTTAATTTCGTGATAATCCCGAGGCACCACAAAAATGCCATCACACAGCTGGGTCAAATGTTTCCTTAAAAAGTCAATCAAAATGTGGTAACAGGCAAACGATTTCCCATGTCTTTCTAAATAATTATTTTACTCTTCTTAGAAATACCTAGGGAAGCGCATGTCCCTTTTTAGATTCCTTGATGGTTAACATATCAAAGCTTTTAAAGATCAGATGGGAGATGAGTTCCTCAGTAGAAAACACATCATAGGAAAAAACTCCCAACATATAAAGCATGGTTTCAAGCAGTTGGGCCACCCAAAGGGGGTCACCGAAGGGACACAAACGCTGCATCTGGACTACAGCTGGTGGGAGGATGATATGAAGGTTCATTATGGAGTGGTAAGTTCTCCAACAGCACAAAGGTTACTGAAGGACGTTATAAGTTTTATATACCATCACAAATTTCAGTTACAATTTTAACCATTCTGTTAACTACAAAATCTTATAATTTGATTCCTTCTATCTCCAAAATGTCAATTTCTACCAGTGCAAGGAGCACTTCACCGCTTGCATCCAGGTGTCCATAGCAGGTTTGTATTCCTCCTCGTCCTTTTGAGGCTCAAAAACTGTTTCTATTCGCCTCAGCTTCTTTAGCTGTTCTTTGTCAGTCCAAAGTCCTATAAACAGAAAGTTCATTCTCAGGCTCAACTACAAATATGTTATTTTTGAGTTGTTTTAATTTACTTACACGAGATCCAAACCAGAAACACAATAAGAAATCATGACAGCTTTTCTTTACTTAACCAACAACTTTCTCAGAGGGAAGCGTATTTTTTTTTACATTGTGAAACTCCTTTCCAATAGCATCCACTTGTTTGGAATGCTGACAACAGCACATCTGCTTAACTGGGATAGTTTCCAAGGAACAGCTCTGGAAGACTGAAGTTCACTTAAATTTCATCAACACTGTGCCTTCAGCTGCAGGTCCCTCTAAATGGAAAGGGGCCACAGAAATCAAAACTTAGCACTACTGCCTTTCCTCGTGCCCTAAAAAGTGCATAAATGGTAGAAAATAGCTGCTGTTACATATTCAGATTAATTTATAGTGTTGAATCGCTCTTGTCTGTCAAAGGATCTTGTTACAGTTTTAATTGCTGGATAAGCCTTACCTGAGCATATAATTTTATCTTAGTTATGTTACTTACATATCAAAGCAATTTACTGAGGTCCCTATCCATCTACAAAATGTATTTCCATTAAAAAACACTGACAATTTATAGTTTAAAGTCAAGTTAATTATATAAGCCAGTTCTTTCTGAGTAAAGTTGGATTCCCCTCCATCCTCATTCATTTATTTTGTAATTCCACTGTACTTATTTCTGTGAAAATCTCAAAGAATAAAGGCTCAGTTCAGAGATGACAGGATGCAGCTTCACAGTGCTGAACATGAGCAAGGCAGCCTCCTTGTCACATGATCCATGCACACCATGCACTGCTTCACGCAGTACGAAAATGGAAAGGGACTCATAGTGTCCAGGTCAAGGAAGAGAGAGGAAGCAAAGAAGAGAGGGTTCACCTCTCTTCTCTAGCAGTGCATCCTTCTAAATGCAAATGAATCCTAAAGCCTACATGCAGATACTTTTCACATTAAGCTTCCTGCTGCTATTCATTTATGTAAAACTAAAGAATAAAACTGCTCAGCAAATTAGGACATTGTGATAAAAATTTAAATATGGTCCTTATTTGATTATGTATGGCCCTATCACACATTTCTTTGTTCCATCAAACACAACAAGCACATGTATAAAAAGGATGTACAAAGGTGAACACTTTTTACTGCAGCTTCCCATAAAAGTGGGTGAAGTACTTGTGGACATTTTACAATAAAGTTTACACTGTTGTTGCTTTTTGTTGTTGTTTCTTTTCCTGGTGATTTTTCCTTATCAACAAACATACAAATTGTCGGGGAAAACATGAATTTTAGATGTATTTGTATACATACCTGATGCAAGACCTGCAAGAAAAGCTGCACCAAGACTAGACATATCTGTATTTGAAGGCTTTTCTATTTTCTTATTAATCAAATCTGAAGTCATCTGCATGACAAAACTGTTATTACTGACACCTCCATCAGCTCTACAAGGAGAGGAGAATAAAAGATTAAAAGAAATATAAAAGTGTTTAGTTCTAATACTTATTTACCAATGTTTCAGAAAACAAGTCCTGAGGTTTCACACCCTTGCACAGATCTTTCCATTACTTATGCACAAATGGATTTTCAGAAAAAGTCTTGGGTAACAAAACCCTTCAGCTGCTTAGAAATGTCACTAATTCAAATGCATCAGCTGGAATGCTCTATACCACAGGTATGCCTCAAGAAAATTTTTGCATATTTTGGATGTTTCTGAAAGTAAAATAATGAAATAGTGCCTGATTGGTGAATTTAACAGCATTTTGCTTATTTGTACGCACAGTTAAACTGGATTTCAACCTCTACACTATGTAATAAAAAAACGCTGTCTGCAAAGTCAATACCTTAATACCAGTGACATGCATTTTTCTTGTTCTGTAAAAATGAAACACTCATTTGATTCAAGCTACAAGATAGGAAAATAAAATAAAATTTGCAAATACTGTTGTATATAGCTTTGCTGCTAGATATGCAGCAAACATTCAATCTGTTCAGCACATATTCTAGCAAAACATTCCTTTATGCTATTACACTGCAATGTGCAATTATTTCACTAAACAACTGAACAGGCTGCACTTCAGTACTTCACAGAGCACTAGGATCATCCTTGTAGAGGCCACTGCAGACTGCTGTAACACAGAACACAACAGCCTTCTCAGTGCTTTCCTTAATGGCATTGAGACAAGCAACAAGCAGTAATAGGAATATATAAGACTAATTATATCAACACCTTTTTAGGAGCTTGTAGGAGGCAGAGGCTGGGAACAAAGGATATGATATAGTAGCTAAAAAAGGAATGAACATACAGAGGGTAAGTAACCTCAAGGCAGGAGAAAACAAGATTCAGAAGTAACGGATTGTTAGTAAAGATAAGAGGACGAAAGGAAGGGAGTAAAATTTACACACCATGAAGCCATGAAGTGTATGTCATTATCTTCTAAGCCCTGATCCACAAGCTAAATTTCTACCGATATTAGCAAACTGTATTATAGTCCCTATATAAACAACAATTTTATATTAATGAATAAAACGAAATACGATCACACAATTTAAAGTTTACATTATACCGTAAACAAGATCAGAATTTCCTAAGGAATCACTGCTACCCATCACTACTGCACTGAGCTTAGCTGCTTCTGTATCTTCACCTGCTCAGTTCCATGCAATGGAACACATGAACTTGTACCTTCCCCTACCTTTGTATTTTCACCTTTCTTTCACCATTCAAAATTCTCATTTCTCATCTGTCCACGTGCCTGCAGCCTACTCCCTTTGCATGGGTATTCCACCCACAGAAAGTGACAGAAAGTCTCTTCACTGTTCTTGATTGTGACACTGCAGTGACCCCTGGCTGTTAGAAGGAGAACTTCAGGAAGGCTCTTCTCAGCACCACAGGCTGGAGGCTCTAGAATAATGTGTGTACAGACTAAGTACCTACTAAAATGAGCAGGGCAGTTTTCCAGCAACAAAATTCTTCTAAATCTTTCCAAGAAGTTGTGATTAGCCTATTCTAGCCTATTCCACTGTTGCCTCACTAAAATGGATTTACTTCTTAAAAGACTGAAACAAAGCCAATGTCTTTCCATTTGAACTGTAAAAACATTCTTCCTCTTACACCTCAAAAACAGGTCCAGTTTTAACTAAGGCTTCAGAAAACAATCAGTCTGTGACAGACCCCAAATAAAAAATTCCATTACAAAAGGATTTTATTATAAAGGGTAGGATGACTTTTGTAATAGGCATTGCTATATGTATTCTAATGAGGCATGAAAATAATTTTATCTTAGTTTTTTAAATTAGAGCAAGTCCTTACTGCCTACTGATAACCACCAATGCCAATCATTTAATAAATGACCCCTCTCTGCCAATTTTGAAGTTACATCAGCATTTTAATTGGTAATAGTCCATTTCTCAGCAGCAGAATTCTTACACTAAGATAAAATACATAATTAAGTTTACACCTGTTTATACCAAACTCTCACAAATCTAACTGAAGCTGCAAGGAACTTACCGAACAGTTCGAAGAGGAATGCGTACTTTCTTCACGATGATATCAAAAAGCTGTTTGTTTCTTAAAAAAAATAAAAAAATAAAAAATTAGTTCTATTAAGCGTTATGAATTCCATAAAGTTCTTCCAGTATCTACACAGTCAGAAAATAAAATACAAGGCAAAAAATGCCTCAGTTGTGTCAAAACCACTGCATAGTTAACAAGCTTTCAGAATGCTTAAGAAAAAAAAACAAAAACACACCAAAACTCAGTATCATACCATTAAAAAGACACAGATATAGCTAAACCATAACGCATTGTACTGCAATGCATGGCACCAAGGAATGCACATTTATTCCCTGCTAAAAATGATTACAGGTTTTCATAGACAAAATGCAACTGTTGATACAAGAAGTAGTTTAGAGTGATGAAAGCACACTGACAGAAGTGTCAACTGAAATTTCTCCAACTGTTCTGTAAAGGGAACATCTGAAAGCTCTAAGTCTGACTTGTTCTGAACCCTAAACACAAAGGCTCTCTACCTTGTTTTTAAGAGATCAGTTCAGGAATTACTGCATCTCAAGTTTCTCTTACAGGGAAGAAAAAACTGCATTTGAGACAGTGGCAGCGATTCAGAATGTTGTTACCTTCTCTAGACACACTAGCCTCAAATTGTATTCACATTCAGTTCCAGTCAAGCTGGCTGGCATTGCAAGGCAGAACAATATGTTTCACAGTGAGCTAGAGATGTGATAATACCAGTGACTAACTGCAGTATTTTCAGCCTTGACTGTTAGATTGGTAAGTTCTTGTCTATCCAAATATTTCAACATATCTAAGGTGCCTATTACTGCATTTTATAAAACACCAAAGATTCAAACTTTAGCCAAAGAGCACATACGAGTGGGCTACATGAGTGGGCTTCCTGACAAAACACTGTCAGGAAAGACAAATTTTCAACAAAGTATTTTTAGAATTTGTCAAAAACAGTATAATTTAAGAATCTCTAACTTCATAACAAAAAACTCCAAACTAATAAATATATGCAGGTTTATTTGTAATGCATTAAAAAGAACAGAAGAGGCAGCTGAAATTCCTTTTCAACATTATTACAATGGATGACTGCAATTTGTATTTTACAAACTGTGGAAGTAAACATATGTATTTAATACTGCTGGTTAAAACAAAACCAAGTGTGATAATGTTAAGCAAGGAATTACCTGAAAGCTACAGATTCTAGGATAGCTCGTACAAGATGGTTTCTGGTAGTAGTGGGTTTCAGCCCCATGAAAGAGGCACTTAAGCATGGATCATTTGCAGAAACCTGCAGAAAAGATTTTTACAATGAGTTTAGTGAGTTATGTTTGAAGACTTTTGAGAAAGCAGTTAAATAATAAGAAAAAAAGTAACTTACGACAATTACAGGCAGCATAGTGAAAGAAGAAAATTGAAAACAATATGTGAGCAGTATATAATGTTATTAGCTAACTCAGTGAACGTTCTAGTTTCTTTCAACAGCAAAAGCGTTAAGTGACTTCCTCCAAATGTGACATACTAAGCAACACTAACATTTATGACTTCTCTCTAAAGTTCATGCAGTGTACACATGAAGTATATAGGACAGGGCACACTGATACTGCTGTTATCTGGCAAAATTGCACTTTTTTTTTAAACTCCCTTTTCTAAACCTCTGAAAAAATGGAATTGCAAGTCCATTTATGTCAGCATCTACTCAGTGGAGTCAAGCAGACATTACAGTTTTAGAAGTGTTCTAAAAGTTGGGTTCGTAGAAGGAACACTGACAAGGACAGTAATCATTTTTATTAGCTCACACAACAGTCTGTTTTCAGTGACACCGATTAATAGTTTCCAACAAAAATTCTAATGCTAAGTTGTCTTTTTTGTACTGGAGGACAGATGGATAAATCTCCACTCCACCCCTCTACTCCTTTGAAAAACTTTATCACAAGGAATTAGTTTGCTGGTCCTTTCTGGTTTGTGATAATGTTGTCTTATTATTACCACAGACAGCAGTTTTCAATTTGAAACAATTCTTTCTAGTTGCACTGTGTTATGTATTAGTTATGACAACACATAATGAAAGTTCGAATTTCATGCTTATAAAAAGCATGGACGTATTTACAAAGTAAATGAAGAAAATGCTAGCATATAAAAAAAAGTACACGTGGATAGGTATATCTGCAACAGCACAAGAATGGAAAATACTGAACTACCACTTAAATAGTAGATCATGATCAGCAACTACCAAAAAACCTGGGTTCCTAAGCAGAACAAACTTTTACATTTGAAGTCAAAGAAAATACTCTTTTCTTTTCCCACATACATAAGTGCCCTTTCCATTCTAAGAAGGGAACCATCTGTGCCTGCCCAGAAACATAATGAAGATTCACTATTCACAGATATTCATATCAAACAAACCCAAAAGTGTGAGTTTGAGCTCTGTGTATGGGTGAGTGTCTTGAAAGAATCAGTCAGTTAAATTACTACTCATTTCAAAACAAAAAAAAAAAGAGACATGAATAGCTGTACATATACATTCATACAGACCAATGAATAGCTCTGCTTTTGCTGTTACTAGCAACCATAGCAAACTCCCATTTCTGACAGCATAAAAGCAAGAATGATTAATGCACATATTCACTCGATTTCATATCTACTTTCACAATGATGTCCTTTCAGTGTGCTGCATCACAGCAGTACAACCCAGGAAGAAGTGAATTTGTTCCTACTGCCTTTATATGGATCAGTAGAGAACCATTTTACGCTGTGTAGGAAATGAGCATACAGGCTTCATGAAAACCCTCCTAACTGCCATCATTGTGAAGTCTAAGAAACACTACCATATGACCATTTGCGCCAGCATCTAGCCAGCAGTGCTAAGCAGCAAGCAGATGAATTCAACTCTGCTCATGTCCCTTTCCAGACCATTTGATCCAGTCCGTTTCTAAACTAGCACAGAATCTCTCCCTGCTGGTCTACTAGAATGCTACTAGCAGTTACGAGGTGTCAAAAATGAAAAAAAGGAAAAAATGTCTGGATTTCTGTTCCTCTTCTTTTTTTCTTTTTGGAAGTATCGTTCCTAAATTTGGACTGGAAATATTCAAACTAGGGATAAAGACAACAGAACCTTCTTGGTGTTTACCAAGAAGCTAGCTGAGGTTCTTTCTGGAAACAGTGTCAAGACAGCAAGGCAGGAAAAAAAAAACAGTGCATGAGAAAAAACACAAACCAACATCTCTAGAACTTAAATCTTACTAGAATTAAAGGGTCAAACGTAAGATTCAGACTAATATTTGTCTGCATTGGGAATCCTTTCTGCAAACACTGCAATTTGCCATGGCTCAGTACTTGTTTATTTAGAGCACAATTTCTCACAGTAAATGCTAAATGGAAGCATCTTAGCTAAATCAAGCTTTACAATGCTAAAAATAAAGCTAATGATTCGGGCAGTTGTTTGACAGAAGGTTGCTGGGCTAGCTGTAGGTGAAAGTAATTATTTCTAAGACACTAACCTTGGGAATGATCAAATTGAGTATTCTAAGCTAGTGAAAAATCAAAACCCAAGCTTATACACCCAAACAGAAAGACAAGCTGTCAAAAACATTCCACGTAATTCCAAGATGTACATATTCAACCCAATGAATTACAAAGACTTCTAAGAGGGGAAAAAAAAAAAAAAAAATAATAATCTGGTGATTTTTGAAAGCTTTCCTTTCAACGTACCCAGCCTACCTGTCCTGTAAAGTTTATAAAGTTAATATTCCAAATGACAACTTAGAGAGAAAGTCTATACCATGAAATTTCTCCTGAACAGCAACACTGACTAGAAAACAAATAATTTTTGTGGAGAAAAATGGTGACTTTCATGGTGACAAACCTACAGCATAGAAACAGCTATGCTGCAGAAAGGGTGCTTTCAGTCACAATATCTCATGCTGCTCAGTTAAGTGGCATAACTTGACAAAAAAGGTTGGGGGTCTTCTGCAGCCTGTAGGTCAGCAACAGCTACATTAGCAACACCTGCTCATCCTCATTCTGTACGAAGGTCTGTCTAGGAGCTCTGACTTGCAGCTCTGTCACTCTGTGGTGACAAATTACAAATTATTATTATCAATTGTCAAGCCCATACTGGAAGCAACTGTTCTGCAACTGGATAGGCAGTGTCAGCTCCCCAGCTATCACCATTTGTCATCTAATGTAATTAACTGCAATTCCTATCAATCCCAAACCAGCCTAATATGTTACTGCAAAAAAGCATCACCCTTCTTGCTGCCTCTGCACAGGAACAGTATCTCACCTCCATAATGAAATGCAAAGAGGATCATAAAACAGGGAAGGACAGACAAGAGGATGGGTATACAGTATTTAGCATAACTGGAAAGCAAGAAGAAACAATCCAAAGCCTGTAATTTAGAAGGGACCAAGTAATTGCAGGGAGCTCCTCAAATAAAGAGGAAAATAAAAGAAACCTATTGGAAGACGGAGGGGACTAAAATGCAAACCAAACGTCAGGAAATCCCTAATATATGCACTGTGCTCAGTAACAATATCAAACAAAGCACAAAGTTTTTCAGTGGGAAAAAACTAACAGGTTAAAATTTGTGTAACCAAGAAATGTCTATTGTTACCTTTGCATTTCATAATGTCAGGACCTCCAAACTTACTCATATTTAAGGTACATGTCTAAATACTCTGATGAATGACAAACTACATATTGAAAAGAGGCAGGATAAAAGGAATTATTTTAGCACAGTACTTAGAATTGCTATCTCAACGAAGGCTCTGTATGAGGCAGAAAAGATATGGGTTCAGTTTCTCTGTCTGTAGACACTGCCTGTCCTACTGCGGACAAGTCACAAGTTTATCTGTCAGGTCACCATCTGCACAATGGAAGTAATTTCCTTCTTCATAGGCTTTTTCTCTCGCAAGGGAAAGCTCTATTTAAGGATTCTTACCACAAGCATCCTCACATGGTGTGGTGAGGAACAGAGAATAAAAACATGAATATTAGAGATTAAATATGGTGTTAAGATGGAAATTACTACATTGAAACGAGACAGAAGTTGTAATTTTAACTGAGCTATTAAGAACATATTCTTAACTATATTAATAACTATAATTTTACCTGAAAACCTGGAACAAAACAAACGCCTTGAGAATCAACAATACTCCGTGCCATTTTTGCTGTTTCATCTACATTGGTGAAAAGATCTGTAAAGATGCATAGTACATATGCTTTTATTGTTTATTTTAATTTCTTTATATACTAGTAAGAGACAAAAAGCTAGAGTTGGGCCACCTCCTTTTGTAATACTTCCCAGTCATGTCCTTTTGTATTATTTTTCAAATTTATTCTAAGGGAAATCAATACTTCTCCTGTATTTCATGTCCAGTCATGAATTCAAATGAAGACCAAATTAAAAAACACCCTCTCCTCTCTGTCATGCTACAGCCTTTTAATCTTTGTGTCCCGTAAAAGATCATTAGCTTTACAGACAAATAGATCTAAATAGGAGTTGAGACAGCTAACAGCAGCACCTATGCTAAAAAAAAAACAAACCTAGATGTTGAAAAACATGAAACACATTTTTCTGTTTCCTCTATAAAGATGCTGTTACTGTCAAGCTAAACACTAAGTGACTAAAGAGGAAGTCCTTATTACCCATCATATTTTAACAGCTCTCAAGCTCTGTATGTATATATATTTATTATTACTATTATTTCTAAACAAGAGACTGACAAGAATATCGGGTCCTACTATCACCTCTTTCACAGAGGTTACTCTAACTGTAGCTGGATGACTCCTTTCAAAACTCATTATAGACATCCCCTCTTGAGCTTATTCTTCACTCATATACATTCCGTAGGTGGCCACATAACACATCATCAAAAGACGAGAGATCTCCTGTAGATGATACCTACTGTTTTAAGTAGTAAATCCTCCTACCAAAGATAGGTTAATCTAACTCAATTTTAAAAAAACCTCTTGGAAACTTACCAGGACTTTCAATTTTACCTCCATAAATGTTTGAAAGATCCTACTGTGCCCAGACTAATAAGCCTAAATCATATCTTTTTCTTCTTCTTGCACTTGCTATTTCTGAACCATATAGTACTTCTATGGTAGGATAGAGAGTGAAAAAAACTGAGTGAGATTCACTTCAACTTGCAATTTTAAATACTACTTTTTCAGAATTATTAGACATGCCAACACAAGAAAACTATTCAACCAACTTGTCTTGCAACAGAAATTTCTACTTCCAAAATATTATTGTTATTACGTATCACCTTCATCCATATTGAGCCTCATCATCCTTACTGACGCCGTTACCCTCCCTGGTTTTGACCCAACTCTCTCAGCAAAACAAAAGATTTACTGTTTACTATTTACTTGTAATAAAAGTTTCTTAACATTGTCTCTTGCAATTGTGTTTCCAGAAAACAAAGGTCTTGCTTATTAGAAATACTTATAGTAGTATTTTATAGTATTTTAATTTTATTTTTTAAATCTGTTTCTAGAGCTTCCTCACCTTTTGCCTATAGTAGCAACGATAGGTCATGTCCATTTCAGTACTAGCTGACTAAAAAACCTTTACGCTATTTGCTCTGCATATACCAACAATCTTCATTTTGAGTATGGGTAAGTAGCATGAAATTTGAAGTAGCAAACTTACCTATGTAGCACTGAACTATGTGTGGAAATGAGTAATTTCCTCAAAAGATTAATGGCTCTGATGAAGAACCAAGAATCAATACTCAATACTTAAGGGGATGTAAATTTGCACGAATAGGCACACATTCACCAGAAGTTGAGAACTTAATTGCAGAATTTGGTGGTGAGCTATACTTCAGGAAAGCCATTCTCAAATAATCCAAAATTTGGGTCATAAATTCCTTCTTTGCATCCCAGTAAAGCTTACCAAGTTTTTATGCAAGACAAGTAAACAGTGTATGAGAACACTCCTATAAACAATCAGTAGCTCTCAACATCAATTACTAGAAGGCTAGGATACTCATAGGCTTTTATTAAACAGATATGCAAGTATTTTCAAGCCTGTTGCTAACTCTGAGATGTAGAGCCAGCAATCTCCCAAAACCATTAACAAAGTATTTGTGGGTTGTAGCATCTACAATTACGCTAACTAGACTGAACTGGCAGTGTGTTTCTTCTTGAATCCAAATACCACAAAACACCAAATACCACAGAAGTCTCCTTTATACCATTTCTATTTAAGTCTGGATACCAGGTTAAGGAATAAACAAATAAAAAGGTACCAGGAAGCTTGTTATGCTCAGGAGTAAAACATTTCAGGAAAATAGTAATACACATAAAGGATGACCTCAGAGACAGAATCTGAAGAGGAAATGATTATGCAAAATGTGTGCGAACCAATCTAAGGTATTTTAAGAGGACAGAGATTAATTCTACTAAATCTAAACTATTTGCAGTAAACACACTCACCAGAGAACCTCCTGCAAATACTGTGGATGTTCCAAACATGTAGGCTAGTTTCTTCAATCATGGGTAATACCACAAAGCCCAAGAACACAGCTATAACCCTATAAAGCGGAGTAGTAAGTAGCAATCTATTACATCCTACTACAAAATCAAGAACTACTTACTTATATCCTGAGCCCACTTTATGGTAGTGCCAATGTTTGACATAGAGCCTTCAGTTAAGTAAACAACTTCTTCCCCAATCTTCCAACCAATCAGTGGGTACAGACCTTAATGATTTTCCATGAAACAAAACAAAAGACCTAATTAAATTACAGTGCTTCCAGGGAAACACAGACAATGAATCCAACTAAAAACATATAGTATTTAAAAATCTCCTTCCAAGAATTAAAATAACCTCTTACAACAAACTAACAAACTTGGCAGAACATCAGAGTTTACAACTACAACATTTTCAACTCCAGAGAAACACAGATGAGCCCATTTTTTGTATTTTAATACAAAACTAATAATTGCTAAGTACACACTTCTAAGTATAAAGGCTCAAGGGCTGGAACTTACAGTGTTCCACTGGAAAATTTTGATGTGAGAAGTCAGCACCAATCCCTTACACTTCCATTCCTTTACTGTACAATACTGCTACCAAGAAGTATCACTAGAAATCATACATGGTGTCTTAATCCATTTTTTTTTTCTCCCCCGCTTTTCTGTTCTTAGGAATTGTATTTCAGGACTACTAAGACTACCATTTCTAATTAAAAATTTTCAGTCCTCTGTCCTGGAAACGTTTTTAAGCTGTCTTTCTACAGCTGAAGACAGAAGGCTGAGCGTAACAATTTTGTATCATTAACAACTGTTAAATAAAAAGAAATTATGCAAAAAACAGCTTACCCCCGTGTGATGCACACAGATTCCCTCCTGTATTAACATTCCAGAAACCACCTGTACCCATCGTCAGTTTAACATCTCCTGGCTGAAAGCAGCATTCTCCAAACATTGCTGACTGCTGGTCAGCTACCTGCCACAGCAACAAAAATGCACTGACAAGTTAGCCATCAACATATAAGGCTGCTGGATTTTAAAATATCGCTGTAAACATTTCAGTGTATTGAATACAAATAACTATTCATAAGAGAACTGAGCATAGAGAGCATCTCTATGCAATTCCTCAAGTATTTGCATGCCATTCTAACACAGTCAGATTTATCACTAGAGGCAAATTAAATCATATTTCAGTTCCAACTTCCAAGATACAAACTTCCAGTGCTAATAAAATATGTTTTGAAAATAAAAACTCTCTACTGTTTGAGTCTCTTATAAGGATAAATGGGGTTTTTACAGTCTCAGGGAAAAGACAGAGAGTAGAGTGGCTTGAATTTCTCTAAATACAAAGTATTGAGGTTCTTCACTCCCTTTTTACCTGCTGCCCCTCCTGTACCAAATCGTTCCATGATGACTTTATCCAACAACAACAATTTGTTAAATTTGTTTACTTCTGTTTGTGTCTTAGTGAAAACAGTAAATTTACAGCTGAAACTACAATTCTAGAAACAGCAGGAGAAATTCATAATAGAGGACATGACATATTTTCCATTTAGCTTGGTTCAGGCAGATTTTTCTACATTACTGCAATAACATGTTTTCTTATCCAAACTCTAAGACAATAAAATGTTATTCTCCCCTTGTTTTTAGGAAAAATAAATAAAATGTACCACAAGTGGATCTACCAACAAACACCCTTACATTGGATGGCTGGACTGGATCATCTTAGAGGTCTTTCCCAAACTTAATAATTCTATGACACACATAGAGTCTTAATGAAGCCAAGTCAGGCTGTATCCCATCGCAAGCCTCTATTTAAAAGTGACTTTAAGCTAAAGAGAGATTACCACAGCTTAGAACGGAACCCAGGTCAGTTAAATTCTATGTGCAGTACCTAATGATTTGGTCATCTAACTTCAGTGGACCATAACCTCTAGAAATCCCCTTCCACTTATCTCCTCTATGCTGTAAGCTTAGTTTCTGATGCAAAATTTAATAACTAGTTTTACTATAGTTAAGACACAGCGAAGGAATAGGGAATACTTACTTAACAAGCACATATTAAATCAGAGCTAAATAAATAAATATATAGGCACAGAAATATGAATTTAAGTGAAAAAAATCTTCACTCACCAATGCCATTATTGGAATAGGTACCCCAAATATTTCAGAGTCAGCTGATCCAAAATTGAAGCTTAAAACAAGTTTTATGAGAAACATCACAACCCTGAATTGATCTCTTTTTAAAACAAAACCCAGACATATAAGGCCTGTGTCTGTACATAAATTAAATGTAACGCTACCTCTTTGTTTTAAAGAAAGCATTAAAACTATTGCTTTAAGAATTACTGATGGTCAAAATAAAATTCTGGATGTAGGATTAAAACTGTACTTATGCACATAGTCAAAGTTTAAACTATTTTAGTAAATTTCTATATTACTTCTCCTATGCAGGTTTTATGTAGTATTTTTATAGAAGCAGTTAATTTAATAGGTATCATATCCTTAAAAATAAACCTTCACAGTTACCTTGTGTCTTTCACTGAAGGATAAATAGACATTGGAATGGAAAGTAAATTACACAAAGTGGGGTTCCAACATTTCTGAAATAACAGGAAAAAAAGACAAAAACATCAGAAACACTTTCAGAGTGCAGCAAATAGCAGTAATGTTTACACGGCATCAACAGCACCTACCGTGAAGGGTTCAAAAATGCCTGTAGAACTGGCATTTGAGTAATCTGTAGCAAATACAGAACCTAGCATGAAAAAAAGAAGAAAGGTTTCAGATGCCCAAATGTTTAAGTCATTAGAAACATTTTTTCCTTAAATGTCTCCACAGCTCCCACAGAACATAGATGTCTACAGGCAAGGTCATACTGAACACCATCGCTACACCAAGTATTCCTGCTGCTCCCTGCAATGCATGTATTCTAATTACTTCATTTTGATCTCATGAAGATGCCCAGAAAAGAGCTGATCACTGACTGCATTCCATTCCATCATCATCTACACAATGGCTGAACCGTCAGTCCTCATGTAGCTACTGTTCTGGGACAGAACCTTATCATGCTGCCTCATTTCTTGTAATTCTTGGCTCTTTTTTTTCCACAGATGCTTTTCTTTAGTCAATACTAGTTAGTTCTAATAATTTTATTTAAATCTTTGATGTTTAAAAGGCTGATTAGACACAGCATTCACTTCCTTTTCTGACTACCCTTCTAGCGCTCAAAAATTAATTCAAAACTTTTTTTAAAAAAGGTAAATATTTTTAAATATTCATCATCAATTAAAAAAAAGCACACATGATCAAAACATATTTAAATTCAATGATAGTCATCAATATCACTGTTTAAATTCCAGAACATTTTATTAGCATTTGAGGACAACCATAACACTCACCTTTAGTCAGTCTATACAGTAACCATGTGTCCACTGTTCCAAAGCAGCAGTTATTCTTTTTGGCAGCTTCATCAGCCTGGGAACAAATAAAGAAAAAAAGGATTTCATATTGGATACAATAAAGAGAAACATGTTTCCCGACTCGTTTTTCATTTTTCATTGTGGTTAATAACATCCTTAGAAAATGGGTCTCTAATACCCAGTATTTCTTCAAAGAAGTGTGAGCCAGCTATGCAAGCTGTATTATCGTACAGAAAAACTGCTCATGATCCTAACAGAGAATAAGGACAAATTCTAACAGCTGCTGCAGAGAAAAGAACAGTAATTAATCTTCTTAGTGCAGTGGAGTGGTGGATAAAGAAAATGAGGACCAAAGCATACTGCACTTTAACAACAAAATAACAAGAATAGAAGGAATATGTCTCTTCTATAATATGTGCTCAAGAAGAATGAAAACAGAGGAAGCGTTTTCTGGTTTATGAGGTCACTGAAGAGTCATATCGCTCTTCGAGATTTTTTCCTCCTTTAAGATAGGAAAGTGATGTTTCATCTAATGTCCGCTGACCGTACAGCCACAGCACTTAGAAAAAGAACATACAAATTAATTCATATAAAAGCATGATTGAGTGCATTATTCTATATAATCAAGAGACACATTTTTGAAGCTTTTTGGTTTGGTAATCATTTATTTGAAATATCATAGCCTGAGAAATCTATGGAGAACGCTCATCTCACACCAAAGCCCCAGAAGCTGCCTACCTTTTCATTCTGTGTAATTCCGAATTCACAGCTCACATTTTTAACAGATCCAACCAAAATATGCACACAAAAATTATCACACACCTTCTCAAAGTTAGGCTTATAACAGACAAACTCAAAAAAACACACAGGAATTTCTTTACACAGGAAAGACAAAAATGGATGACCACAATTTTCTTAAAAAATAACCTGAAAATTATCAAAAGGAATAAAAAAAAAGACCCATAAATGCAGTAAGACAATGAGGAAAAGAGTAAGGATTAGAGCAAAGAACCGAGTAAGAAATAGCTCAGTGGTCACTCTTCCATTAGATTAAGCCAGCACAACTTATTTTACATGAGTTTTCCAATTTGAACTGCAACAAAACATGCAATTAATTAGCATCTGATTGTTAAGTATGGTAATGCACAGGTAACTATAAAAACTGGGAGAGTGAAGACTGGCAAGGTGACAGTACCAGCTGGGAATGTGCCACAGAAAATAAACATGCAAGAAAGTATAACAACTAAGAGCAGAATTGTACTAAGTGAAATACTGTTTTTTGGGTTTTTGTCTGTTTGTTTTTTGAGGAAAGGCACAAACAAAAACATGCAGAGGTTATGCCCAGTAGCCATTATGATGGATTAAAGCAGTTACTATTTTTCCCTTTCCAGCTTACCTCAGGTATGTTTTTAAAAACCCACGACAACTTCATAGAAGTCTGTTGTGTTGAAAAGGTAAGAAAACTCGGAGCCAAATATCGATCATTTCCAGTAAAGAAATGAAGCACTGTAAAAATAACATGGATTACCTGTTTCAAAAGAAAACAGTTACTTTTTCAATCTTTTCCTTTAAATGTTTCTTATAAATTTCTTATAAATTAGTACTAAAGAATGACAATATAGACAAAAGCAATGCTTGTGCTCAAGTTCTGTTAGAAAATCCTTACCTAAGATTTCATTGGCAGCCTACCACAACACACACCAAAGAAAAGAGCAGCTGCACTAAGCAGGTCTGTCTCGCTGACTTCTGCTGGCACACAGAGAGCAACTGCTTCTATTACAGACAGTCCCCTGTCTGAGCACAATGCACAGCGTGGCTGACAGCATTACATACTGTTATTCCCTTGTCAGTTCTCCTACAGCAAACAAGCTCAATTCTGTTTTAACAGAGTAATCAAAATTTAATCATTAAAGCTCCACTCAAAATACATGACAAAACACAGTTTTTAGCTTGTTTTTGTTATGCCAGCACACTTACATAAAATTAACTTTAGTTCTCCCTTGTAGAGTAACATTTCTTTTAAAAGAAGCACCAGCATGAGCAGCATAAAATGCACCTTCTTTAGATGACCTCATTAAAAAGAAAACACAACTCCAAAAGTGTTGCCAACCACAAATTACCTACATTCAAAAACTGTGCTTCAGCAGCATTAGCATGTGACATTTTTACACAACGAAGAGACTGACTGAACTGCAGCAGAACATGTGACAGACTTACAGACATATCTTCCCATAATTAAGTAACTTCATGCACTTTATTTTTTTTTCTCAGTACCATTTTCCACACAAATTTTGTTTACTTTCTTGTTAAAGGCTTTAGGCAGCAGTGTTTCATATGAATACGTTCCCAAGGTATCCGCAGTATTTCATATACCATCCTTCTGCTTCCTGAAAATGAAGTGGTTATAATACATAATACATTCAAGCAATATGCTCCTTGGCAAAGTGTTACCTTCAGCAGAAGGGATCTATTCCAGGAATTGACAAGCTCAGCACTCCTTAAGTCTTGCCAGCTTATGAAATTATGAAAAGGTTTCCCCGTCCTCCTGAAAAGCAGCATTGCAACATCCTCACTTCCAATCACAGAACATATACAGCCCCACCCCAAAAGTCAACAGGATACACCACTTCCAATCACAGCATTTAACAGCAGGCTGATTCCTAACACAAGGGCACTTCCTCCTGTTGAGCGTGAGAAACTGGCCATAGGCACACAGACAGTTTGGGCACAAGGCTTCTCATCAGAATTTTAAAAAAATTACAGAATCATAAAATCTAGAATCACGTAGGTTGGAAAAGATCTTCAAGATCATTAAGTCTGACCAATACATATAACTTTCTTCCAAAGCACCAAAACAAAAGTTCTGAGCTGCTGCAAAGTGCAGCCATGCCAACACAACAGTGCATGACTGACATTGGCTGCCAAAGCGAGTTCAGGATTTCTACAAGCTGTTCCTGTCCAGATCATGGCAATGAGCACGAATTCATTCTAACTAACACAGTACATACGTACTTGTGCCATGTGATGAAAGTGGATCTTTGTGTTGAGATGCCAAGAGCAGCAATTTGCCTCATGTGAAGTCCAGCAGCTAGAAAATAAAAAGAAAAAAAATACAATAAATTGAAGAATCCCCCCTCCTCCCCCCCAAATCACTTGTCTAATATAACTTTAAAATCTACGGAATGCAGAGGAAATAAACAGAATACAGGTTCACACAGACTGGGCACCTGAGTGGCTACCCAGTGAAATGATAGAGAACTCTGAACCAGACCAACTGATAGCAAAGGCAGTCAACAGAGCTGCACTGCTCACGGAAGCAGTGGAGGCACTCTGACCCTCTGTGCCACCTGAAAGGCCGGCTGGTGCTGGACTTCAGCAAACCCAGAGAGAGGCAAGCTGCAAGGCACTAAGACTGTCACATCAACATGTAAGAAACCAGTTAAAATGTGAACATCACATGGATGAACGTGAACAAAAGCATAAGGGAATAAGTATATTTACAAATTTAAAAACAATTTACAACCCTCAGTAACCAAAAGGAAAGAAACGCCATGGAGAAGCAAAACTAGACTGATTTTTGACATCCATCTTTGGTAACGATGTTGCTCATCTTAAACGTTATATTCCTCAAGATTTTATAATAACAAGAAATTCACGTGCACCATTTAATCACTGAATAGAACAAAATATACTTAAAATTCAGAAGTAGAAGAATGTATGTTTGGGACAGGCACATTTTGTTGCTGCACTTCACTTTCAAACAACTGCAGCAAAACAGCTTCTCTAATATATAAATTGATGCAAGTGTTTAAATTTGTTGCCAGCCATTTTCAAAGTGGCTCTAGTCAGCTTCCACAGTACCTTCACGTATGCTTAAAGAAGAAAAATTATGTGAAAAAATGATACAGTGCAGTACCCCATGTAACCATCAGGCCGTTCTGACCAAAGCACTGCTGTTCTGAAGGGCCCTCAGCCCAACTCTTGAGCAAGCCACGAGTGCTGTGGTTACACCCTGACAATTGACAGCTTCTGAGTGACACTTCCAGAAGGGCTTTCAAAGGGAAAGGGCCCACCTGACCTGCCCACTGCTCCACTTGCTCCTGCCCCGTCCTCCTCCCCCCTGCCACAGACCTAGTGGTTCTGCTGAAGTCAGCAATCATATCAATCAGCTGAAAATCAGATCAGTGCTTCTGCAAGACTGTTGGCTCCACCTGCTTGCCCAAGCATTGCTGGCAAGAGAGTAAGGGAGGAGGACCTAGGAGTGGGTGGCTTGCAAACAGCAGCTCTCCCTCTCCAGCAGCAGCAGGTCTGAGCTGAAGACAGAACCAGACCAGAATTGCTGCAGCTCACTGCCAGTTGGTGTGGCACAGCTTGCTCTTCCCACCTCTACGAGCTGCTCCCAACACTTTTCTTGTGTCAACCACAATGTTCTCTCAGTTCTTCTGTGAACTGGGCTTATATTCACTGGAGAGAAAAACAAAACAGAAGGTACGGGCAACTGGTGAGCTGCTTCTCAGGGCCAAACCTCAGCCAGAGAGAAGTAGGACAGTGCAACCAGAGGCACCTTCCACCTCAGTGCACACCAAGTTACCTCAGCTCATATCTACGCACAGACCCACAGCTCCACAACAAAGTGCCCCTGTGCCTGCTCTCTGCCCTCAGATGTCACTCCTACCCCAGCACCTCGTCCTCCTGTGTGCTGGCACAAATGCTTGTGAAACTCTGCTGGCACAACAAGGTGTAGTGGTCTGCTGGGGGAAACTGCCGCAGACTTCAGCACCCCGGCAGAAAGGAGGGCGGGACCGCTGCTTTGACAGCGCCGTGGGCTCACGCTCACATCGCACAAGCACTTAAAAGTAGCCTGCTGATAGAGAACACGGCAGCAGCTTCCCCTTCTAACAGCAGCCAGAGAACCTTTGCTTCCTGATTCATCCCACAGACCGGAGGGGGGAGGGAGGGAAGGAGAAAGAGCAGGCTGTGACGGAGGGCACGTGGAGAGGAGTACCTGCTCCTCTCCAGCCCCGTGCAGCAGCGGCACAGCGGCGGCACACAGCGACACCCTGCTGCTGTGCTGCACCCCCAGCCCGGCCCACCGAACGGAACAGCTGTCAGAGAGGTGCTGCTCTGCGTAACGGCCTTACGGCACGCCAGGCCGTGCGCTCAGCCGCCCACTTCCAACGCGATTTTAGAAATAAATACTAACTGCAACTCGCCAGCTCGCTAGCTAACTAGTTTCGGCAAACAAACGACCTCGCGAGCCGTTACCTTGCACCGCCTCTTTTACGACGCCGACAAACTGACTCCACAGAACTTCGGGATCCAGTTCCACCCATCCGGGCCGGGGGTGCAGCGCCTCCACCTGCGCACACGACACACGGCGTCACCGCGACCCCGCGCACGGCCGGCGCTCCGGTGGCGGCGCTCCGCACGACGCCGCTACACGACGGAGCCCCACGACCGCGGGCCGCGCGCAGGGCCGGGCCGGGCCGCGCCTGAGCGGCGCTCGCAGCCCCCGCCGCGGGACCGCGCGCCCGCAGCACCGCCCGCGCAGAGCCCTGCGGCCCGAGGGCGGCTCGGCCCCGCGCCCCCCCGCCTCACCTTCCTGCAGCCGGAACCTCTGACGGCGGCCGCGCGGTCGTAGACGTGGCACTTCACCGCCGTGCTGCCCACGTCCACCCCCACCACGTAGAGCGCGGGGGCGGCGCCGCCGCCCGGCTGCCCGCACGGCATCGCGCGCCGCGCACCGAGTGCGAGCGGCCGGCCGCCGCCCGCCTGAAAAGCGGCGCCAGGCCCCGCCGCGGGGCGGGCTGCCCACGGCCTATGGGCGCGGGAGGCGGAGCGCGGCCCCGCAGGTGGCCCGCGGCCTGGGGCGGCACGGGGCGCGGCGGCACGGAGCGGGCCCGCACCTGCCGCACGCCGCCCGGCTGTTTCTGAGCGCTGCCACAAACGCGCCCTCTGCACCGCGGGTGGAGGGGCTGCTTTAAGCAGAGCCGTCAGAAATGCGCTGTTAGATGGGCTTAACCCGCGACAGACGCTAGGAGAACTTAGTTTTAGCCCCAGAGTTTAATTAGCAGAATTGGTCATGCAGTTTTAACCCCTCGTTTAATTAGAATAGGAAAAACAAAACAGCACTGAAAATATTTTGCCCCTGCGACCCGTGGTCGTCCCCGCTTAGAAAAGGTGCGTTGCAAACAGACAAAAGGGATAACTTCCTCGTGTTGTGGTACCTTTAAACCAGGAATAGCAATAGCAGCAGAGGTCACTGGGACAAAGGTTCAGGCACGCAGGAGCGGGGCTGGGAGCCTCCTCCCCAGGAACGACTCCTTAGAAAGCTACCATCTCTTCCTTTCTGCACTGAAAACAGCGGCCTTTTATTCAGCCTTATAGATATTAAGTACGTAAGATAAACCTGCCTGCAACCCTGCCCACAGCAGGAGGGAGGAACTGTTCCAAGATAAGCCAATCTATGCTTCCATCGTCTTAAATTCCATTGAGCATTTTAACAATAATTTAGGTAGGTCTTGAGCCACCACCTGTATTTTGTAAAGAAAACCAAGTGACCCAACTTGTATAGCTGCTCTTTGCACATAATCTCAGTGATGTAGCACGTGTAAGAGAATTGCTCAATTTATAAAGAGCTTTATGAAATACTAATTTTATATTATTGTTCCAGTTGCAATGTGATAAAAGAAATGCAACACAATGGAGTTTGCTCAGGCAGATGCAGTTTGCCCGTACACGACTTACCTGGCACAAACTTACGTGATTTTGTCATAAATAACATTTCCACACAAGTGCTATTTGTTTATCCAAAACCTCTTACCTTTAGAGAAAAAATCTGATTGCAAACATACACAGAAGACCCACGTTCATCTCAGCAGAGGCCAGAAACATCAATTTGAAGTAAGGGTGTACTAACACTCTTCAAAGGTCTTTTATATTGCACTGTAACACTGATACTAAACCTGCACACTTCTAAGCTACCATCCTCCTCTTCCTATGTAAATAAGAGCATGCATGTGTTTGGGTTTGGGGTTTTTTGCTGTTCCAAAAGGCAGAGACCTCACACACCTGGAGTCATGCACCAAGTACTGCAGCACCAGTTTCCCACACTTCTGTATCTTCTGTGCTGGCATCTTCAGTTTCTTTGATCTCTGGAAAGCACAATTATTCTCATCTCTTATTGGAATATCAAACCCAGTGAAGGAGTGGAGGCACTCCAGGTACTCATCCAATACTGCGAGCAAAGGAAAGGAATTATTATTCCAAACAGCAGAACATCATAAAATAATCTCTGGCAAGTGACAACACCTGCATCATGAGGAATTTGAGTATTTGTAAGAGAAGTCATCATGGTTCTGTCAGCAACAAGGACCCTCCAGGGGGTTTTCCAGTCATCCAAGTCACAATAGGTCATGAGAGCTGGGAATTCCTGCAGATCCAGCAGGAATTACTAGAAAAACCCCCAGGCTTCAAGTACGAATCAAACTTGGCATTGGCAACACTAACAGAACTTCAGCAACCAGAACCAAGGAGAGTAAGACCCAAAGCCTGTAACTCATGCTTTTTTTTTTTTTTTTTTTTCCCCTTTAAGTTCCATTCCTTTCCTTACCTGTATTTTGTCTCATCAAACTCTGTATCCACTTCTTTAGCTCTAGCATTTTAAGAAGTTTTAATGTTATGTATTTACCTCAGTGTCTTCAGTCAGTTTGCTTTTAAGAATTTCCCTATTTTGCTATTGGTTGTATATCCCACATAGATGATTCTGCAAGCTTCTCCTGGAAAATTAACACCCAAAATGAAAGCGATGAACTTTCGGCAAATTTTACTTCAGTAATTTACCATACGATGGTTCTTGGTAGTTCCTCCTGTCCACCTGCCAGAATTTACCACTCTTCTTGAAGTCAAGAGACAACACCACCACATCAGCTAATCTAGCATTGTAGCTTCATGAGTGTTTTAGGCAGTGATGGGATATTTCTTGAGCAGATCCACTCTCGCTAAATAATCCTGCCCTCACACTGTCGTCTGTTGTACCAACACAGCTGTTCCTGTGGCTCCTCAGTGAGCTGATCGAGCTGAAAAATAACATGAGGGAAAGTTTCAATCAGATGAATTTCTTGATACGATTCATAATGCAGCAATACAAAGAGTTTGTACACAATTTGGCACAATCAAGTGGGAACAAGTCACAAGAGGCTGGTACAGCCAGTATTTCCACTAAGAACTACATATCACAGCTGCCCACATACATAAAGTTTTGCACTGAAGTGCCTGGGACACAAACAGTCCTTCCTTTCCACGAGCTCTCCAAAAGAAGTAACCTTTGACAGAGACTAAGGTGGATCATAGGACAAAGTTTTAAGACACTCATGTCTTAAAATAATTTATTTAACAAAGCAAGTGAAATGAGAAGTGCTATACTTGCTAACATTCCATTGTTTGTCCATGCTTTTAAACCTACACGAGTGATGTCCATGTTTGGGCACATGCTATGTGTATATGCAAGACAATGTCTGTCATCCTCTGCATGTCTCTTAAGGGACTACAAACAGCTTTGAAAAACAAAGGATATTACGTTGTGTGTATGCACTGTTTCTATTTATGTATCTATGAGTAATGAACGTGGAAAGTCCAGGGCTCAACAGCTCTTTAAAAGAACACTGATTTCAAAATTTGGAAATTCAACAGAAAGACTGAAAAAAAAGAGGGAAATGACCATCAGTGAAGCTTAAGGACAAGAGAATGGGTATGCTGGAGGCATACAATTGTTCTTGCTTCACCCTATAACCCCAACAAGGTTTCTGACTATGATTTTTATTGCCAGTTACTGGCACAGAAATCACATGCTGGCTTTGGATTGCCAGCCTTGGTCTTTCTGATGCAAAAAAAAAAAAATAGAGGACTAAGGGTCATTATCAACTTTCATAAAGCAATGCTGATGCATTAATGATCACTGACCAAATTTTATTGGAAAAAAAATAATTAGTTTTAATGGAAAATGCTTTCTCTGTCCTCTAAAATGATAGGTTTACTGTTAACAGTTGGCCTGTGGACTACCTATGTTCATTTTGATTTATATTATCCTTCCCAGCAGCGATAAAACAGGACACTTTTTAATCACAGAGAAGAATGTAAAAATCAGCAGTAATAAGGAACCTCTGTTGAAATGATAGATTCTTTTGTTAATAATCAGCAGTTACTTACCTCATGATATCTGATTCCTCCAAATACGTAGCGGTTACAGTCTCAATATTCAAGGGTCCTCGTGCACCTAAATTTGGATTCTCTGGGCCAAAATGTTTACTCAACCTGTGTCTGTGCCCATGATGTCACTGTGTCTCTTTTCCAGAGACAGAAAGAGAACATAACTCTCTCCATAGTAAGGAAGGATGATTATGGAACATCTATGCAGATCACTTCTCAAAAGAGGAAAGAGAAGAGACCCCTTACTGGAAGTAACCAGTCCTAGATTTGAGTTTCTTCACTCTTAGGGATCATTTGTGCAGTAATTCAAATGAACTAAACTAAATTGAACAAGAGTAACTTAATTTTTGAATGGGAATGGCTATGCAAGATTTATTATGCACCAACCAATATGTTTTAAAGTTATTCCTTTACATAAGCTCATTCTCTTTAGTGCTGAGTATTGAGACAGGACAGGGCAGAAACTGCCATACAGGACACCTGAAGTACCTACAGTCTGCTGATTAATTTGCAGGACAGGCTGAGAAATGCAAGATCATATCCTGGCATCTTCACGTTGAAAAATGTGACCTCAATGTACCAAGACTTGAGTGCAGTTCTGCACAGAATACAGTTGCACTGCATTTACACTTACATTGAATTAAATGGTTGGTAATGTTAAGAGTATGCTCCAATCTCTATACCAGTCATTTTAATCATGCTAATTCACATAATAACCTGTAAAAAGCAAAATACCAGATTTCTGCAAAAGACAGATCCTAACAAAATTTGTATGTCACAATCAAAGGTACTAAAAATTAATAAGCATGGCTACAGACTACAATGGTCATTATGCATTACAGGGGAACAAGTAAAGCTTGAACATACTCTTAGAGAAAAAAAATTACATTCAGCATATTTTACATACATTCTATACAAAGTCAGAGATTTATTTGCCCTCTAAAATGATATCTACTGATGTTAATTTGGCAGTTTCAAAAACCTGCTATTATTACGTGTGAGAAAATGTAATTATGAAACATACTTTGCAATTTCTTTCTTGACAAATATAATCACATTACATTATTTTGGTGCAGTTTGCCAATATGCTTCATTTAGAAGCCTTGTTACAAAGAAGGTACCTAAACTTACTCCACTCTCACAGAAATATCAGCATAATATTTTGTTTCAGAAAAAGGCAGTGTTCAGTTATCAAGTATTTCCAGGTATCCATGGCTTTTCCTGTTCTTCAGCTGACAGCTATTTTTGCACCTTGACAAGAATTACTAGGACTGAACTTGCTGCAGAGCATTAGATTTTTTTTTTTTTTATCTAACAAGTGACAGATGCCAAAGGAATTTCAGAAGATCACCATTTAGTTAAATGCTTTTGATTTCAAACCGACCAACAGCCATCTAAAGAAGATTCCAATCTTTACGTGAACAGCAGTTGAAAGGCATCAAGAAATAGCTCTGAGGAGGGGCGCATTTGCCACTTCTGGGAATAACAGAGCTTGGTCTTCATGAGATTCAATTTACATCTTAAAATTCCCATTTGAAGCATACAGA